GAAACTTAAATCTTTATATTTTCATGGTTATACATCTCGATGTCGAGATGATCAATCAAAGGGTTTTCAACATTAAAACTACCTTTTTCGATGGATTTTGACGTGCATCTGTAGTTCTACATTATAAGGTTGCATCCTTATATAAACTTTTCCTATATATATATATATATATATATATATTGCTAATGCTGTAGAAATTAGCTCTTGGGCGTTTGCAATCTCTTTCCTTTGTGTGTGTGTGTGTGGACGCGTGGCGTGCGTGTGCCTGAGTGTGCACGTGCATATGTGGCTGTGCGTGCGCGTGTGTGCGTTCTTTGTTAAACAAATTGGTAACAACTCATTTTATGCACACTAGAATTTGATAAACCCGTTTTACCATTTTGTGTCCCTGCTCTAGTGTATACCTCTTTGAAGTAGATCATTGTTCGGGTAGGTTTTTGGGATTGTATATTTCCCTTCCAGAATTGACTCTCTACTGGAACCGTGAACAGTTTTCTTGGATGTTATCTTAAGGACGACGGCCATGGGTGTTGTATTCATTGCTTTAGTAGTTAGATATTTTTTTTCAATCCTTTTGCACCAATTCTATATTTCACCTCACGCGTGAAAGTCTTGACTATGCTGATTCTTAGGATAAATGTTTGGCATATACGTCTCATTCTTTTAAGCCTAGTAGTTTAGACATTTATTTTCTACCCCAAAAATGATGTGTTGGTGATCATCTCTTAATCTTGAATTAATTTTATGGCAATGAGAAATCCATTGAGGGCTGTAATAGTTTCTTATTTTACTTTTTTTTAAAATCATTGTTATGCTTTTCATCCAGAACCTGTCCTTTTTCCCCTCCTGCAAAGGCTGTAATCCAGTCAGATGGGTGTTCAAAAATTTGGAAAAACCTTATTAATGAAGTTTTAAATTGATGAACTGTTATGATTTTATTTGATAAGAAACTGCAGACAAACTCATGCACGTGCACACATAATTCTATTATGCATGTATGTACAGCAGTGCATTATGCTTGAATGAGTATTTATATTCTTGTTTAATCTTTTGAGGGAATATGATCTACTGCTTGTTACTTCAAATTTGTTTTCAAAGATGTGGCAGTAGAATGCTATTTTCTTTTCATCCTATGGATTTTAGAATAGATGTATTCTATGTAGCTGTTCTTAGATATTTACGAAGAACATATATGTGCAGATTCTTTTGGAACTTCAAGTTAATGGGAACTGGCCTGATGAGACTTCCAACTCTGTGATGGGAAACGAACTAGCTTTGGTGGCAATTGAACCCTCCAAGTCGTCTTTGACAATTGCTGGAGGCTCCACATACAATGGCCATTCAGAAAGTTATGGCCCAGATTTATTGGGATCTTCAAGCATCCGCAGCAGTAACATGGAAGGAGCACATAAGAATGTAGACGATGCCTCTGAACTTCCGAGTAGTAATGCCAAAGGAAGTGGTGGAGGGTTGACTGGCCTAATAAACCTGGGCAACACTTGCTTTATGAACAGTGCACTTCAATGTTTGGTTCACACACCAAAGCTGGTGGAATTTTTTTTGCAGGACTATAACAAGGAGATTAATCAACACAATCCATTGGGAATGAAGGTATGTGTCCATTTGATTTTGACTTTAGTTCGTAAATCATATTTTGCATTAATTCACATTGGGCATTTCTCTTTGAGAAAGTGCCTGATAAATTATCTAATCTCTGTTGTAGCTGTGCAGGGCGAGCTTGCGAGGGCATTTGGAGACTTATTAAGGGAACTATGGTCCCCTGGAAAATCACCAATTGCACCGCGGGCATTCAAGGCAACGCTTGCTCGATTTGCTTCTCAGTTTAGTGGGTACAACCAACATGATTCTCAAGTTAGTATCATCATCCAATTTTTCATTGATTTACACTAGCTTATTTTGACATTTTCTGGACTTCCTCACTTTCGAGGAAAATTGATCATGATCAAGTGGAAACAATATAACAATAACTACAATGTTGGGGATGGCGAAGTAACAACAACATTGAGATAATGAAAACAGAACAACGTAGTGTAATAAATATTACACATGTTATTGGATTTTGGAACTGCAAGAGTTCACCTTGGTTTTAGTTGTCTATTAAGGCTAGTTTATGTTACTCCACTTCTTTTAATAAGTTATCTTGAAAGCATTCTCTTGATTTATATTTCTCCAAGTGTCTGATTGTGGAAAAGAAATGTATCTTATGGTTAAGCTAATTAGATCAACTTAATGCTAATTAAATCAGTTTAATGCTGATCTTGTAATAATACATGAATGTTCTTATCTTTGCGTACTCAGAATTGAATATCCTGTTTATGCTCTTGGTCTTGTAATCTGTTGAGATTGTAGTTTTGATGGTATGCTATATAATTGACATGCTTAAGTTCTGCTTTTATTAGGAACTTCTGGCGTTTTTGCTTGATGGGCTGCATGAAGACCTAAACCGTGTGATACAGAAACCCTACAGTGTGACAAATGATCCAAATGGACGCCCTGATGAAGACGTTGCAGAGGAGAATTGGGCAAGCCACAAAGCTCGCAATGATTCCATAATTGTGGAGACTTGCCAAGTGAGTCCTATTGTTTGCCTCAGATTTGCTTATATTCTTATTTGTTGTTTTCTTTTTCTTTTAGTTTTTTTTTTTTTTCCATTTGTTTCTATTTATATATATTATATATATTTTTGCTCTACTTTACCTTTTTCAGTTTTTTAAATTTTAATTTTAGTATTATTTCATCAGATATTGTTATTTCATAACTTTAGAGCTTTATGTCTAAATTTTGTTTCTTTTGACGTGGCTATGACAAGTTTTAAGTTTGGGAACTATCATCAGTTATCTATAGTCATCAATTACTTTCCTCTGACTTTTAAATTTAGCGTATGCACTTTCCCTAGTATAAAGCTTTTTATTTTCAGAATATCAGTTAGTAGACCATTATTTGGCATTTGAGCTATTCTGGCCAAAACACAAGGGGTTTTTCTCAGTGAAAATGGAGTTTGCTTAGTTGGTGCTGTAGAATTGAGATTGTCCATTGAAAAACTACCTTGGATGGAGTAGAAAGTAAACCCTAGCTTTCTATATTTAGGAGTCATGCTCCCATAGTGCAAATTGCTTGCAGTGCGGAGTTGGAGTAGTGGAATTGAGGGTCCAGTTTAACCCTTTATAGACTTCTTTCGACTTGCCTGAGGAGTTCTAATTATACTTTTGCAGGTATCCAATAATTCATCAACTTCCTAAAAGGGTGAAGCTTGGTATGCTGAGCTTAACCGCATTTGTAGGCTATTTGCTTGAAGTCTTCTGGTGTTTGTTTCTCTAAATTTTACATTGATGATCTAATTCATTTTCATATAAGGAGATTTGTTACTTAATGGCTTTGCTATAAGACAACAAGCTTCAAATGGGTTCTTCAAAGCAACCGGTAGGTTTGCAAGTTAGTTATGTAAAAATAGGTTGTCAATTCCTCATGATTGCTAGAATGCTTGTTGCCTATCCAAGTCAACTGGTTTTCTCATTATTCCAATGTTGCTTATAGAAAAGCTCTTTTATAGTAGGGTGCCTCGAAGTGAATCCTTGCATTTATTATATTTTTTCGGTTAAACGAATGTTTTCAGGACTTGAGGTCGAATTTTTTGGGTTTTATGGCCTTTAAAGGCCTACAAAGCTTGTAAAAATGATAACTTGTAATGTAACATGCACTTCAGTGGGAGTGTGTGTTGACTGACCATGAGTTGGGCAGTTTATGGCCCTGGTTATATCCAAAACCCTTACCCCTGGACATGTGGCACTATCGAGAAGTGTTTACAGTGGGTCATCTCTTGTTGAGGTCGGAGAGATGCCTAAGGATAATGTTTGTAGGTTAAGAAAATTGTGTGGCCATGGTTGTAAACCTGTGAGAGAAATGGCCCAACCTTTTACACCTTATGTACACATGACAGCCATATTACTGGGAAGTAGCCCTATAGAGGGATATGTGCACATATGCATAAAGAGAGCTCTCTTTGCACTGTAGTGACAAGTATTGGACTTGCTCTTAAAGGGGGGACTGAAATCCACATTCCATGTTCATGGTTCCATTGTTCATTGTTCAACTTTGACAAGTCAATCATGAGCCCTTGCAATGAAACTGTGGGTCATGAGTCTTTGTTGGGTTGGAAAACAACAATGAATCATAGTTCTTGGGTCAAGTGGAGTACCCTTATTGTCATTAATTTTGACTCATTGATACCAGTCTACTTCTAAATTATTTTATTTTAGTATTAGAAATGCTTTTATAATTTTTTTTTATGAATTTTTCAAAATTTTAAAAATTTATTTCCTTTTGTAAAATCCTTCAAAAGAGCATTTTCGTATTTTCTGAAATTTGGAATGGCACATGTGGGGCCTTGGATCCAGCCCCACTTGTGTGCGTGCCCACCCATGGGTGGGACGTGGTCCACAATGGACCACTTAATCTCTCTTGTTTATGTGACATTTCTTTTTATTAAATATTATTTTAGGGGAATCTTTTTAATATTAAAAGATTGTTTTAATTAGGAGTTGGGTTTTATCAAACCTCTAATTATTTTGACTACCCACAAATTTCGAAAAAATATAAGTATTGGATGGTTATAATTCTAATTTAAATGTAAGTTGGACTTAGGTCAAATTATAAGAGGATAAGATTCCTAATAATCCTTCCAAAATCATGATGGCAGATTTGTGGGATGGATGACTCAGATTTGTTCACCCTCACCCCACAGATTTCCTGAGTTCCTATTGGTCAAGCTGTGTCATTGGATAAGCATACCTAAGGAAGGAATTCTAATCCAAACAGGAGAATGAATTCTTTCTATTTAAACACCATTGACTTCATCTATCCCGAGACACATATTTCTCTCTCCTCCATGCACCAAGTTTCCCTCTCTTTCATTAAAATTTAATTTTCTCTCTTACAATTTCCAAAAAGGGTCATGCCACCCTTTTTTTTTTTTGGGTAAGTCATGCGACCCAAAATTTGTTATGACAAGGTGGCACATTGAAACCCTAGTTAGGTTTTTGCTATTTGGACAAGAAAAGCGGTATGCCAGCCATAGGAGGTTTCTATGCCTTCAAGCCCAGCGCTAATTTGTTCCTGAGGGTTCCTACAAACCTGAATTAGGTTTTCATGCTCTCTGAAACCCTAGGGTAAGAGATATTGCCTACGAAAGCTTCCCATTTATGAAATTCCAGCAAGATCAAAAGGGACAAAAATGTGCCATCGGTAAGGGAATTGGGTGTGGGGTGGATCAAGACCTGTGAGGTTACCCTCATGCACCTTCTAGTAAGTCTTCTTAAGAGATTTTATTATTTTTCAGTCATATTTCATATTTTTCTGTGAATTTTCAGGAGCAAATATTGTACTCAAAACTATAGTGGAAGATTGTTTATACTCCAGGGTGGTTTTTTATTTGCTTTTGTAGTAAAAGTAACGGTCTTAGGTTGTATTTAAGGTTGTAAATTTAATTTACAACAGTGTATTGGCCTATGTAAGTGGAATTCAGGTATATTGAATAAAAGAAAAAGAAAATGTTTGAATTTAGTTCCACAGAGCCACTCCTTTCAGAATCTAGGAGGGGGGGTGGGGGTCCAGTTTGTTCGAAAGCGACACAAGCAGCAGTTCAAAAAAAAGGGGAAAGTATAAACAATTTATAGAAAGCCGGCAAACGCTTTTAAAACCTGGCCAACTGGCTGGTTCATCCCTCTTTTTTTTTCTCCTGTTTTGATGATTGGACTGGACTGGATCTTGGCCAGGTTCGTGGTTCAACTGGTCAGACCAGTCAGGTTTTTATGACATGGAGTTAAACATGCATCTGCATGTGTTTTCAGAGGCTTTTAGAAACGTTCTTCATTAATTTTTACTTATGCTATGGTTTATAATTTTTGTTGACTTTAATTGTTGATATGCATGCTAGGGTTCATTGGCTTCTTTTATTTCCATTGTTTTACTTCTTCTAAAATAATCCTACATTTCACTTATTCCATTTCTTAAGTCTAAATGGCTCATAATCTCTACAGGGTCAATATAAATCCACAGTGGTTTGTCCAGATTGCAGCAAGGTTTCTGTGACCTTTGATCCATTAATGTACATGTCATTGCCATTACCTTCGACAGCCACAAGAGCAATGACCATTATGGTGTTTTATGGTGATGGGAGTGCTCTCACTATGCCTTTCACTGTAACGGTGCCTAAACAGGGTTGCTGTAAAGATATCATTCAGGCCTTACATGAGCCATGCAGCTTAAATGCTCATGAAAGTTTACTGCTAGCGGAGGTAAGATTTAGTTAAACAGCATACATTCATGTATACTCAGTTATTCTTATTGTACTTACGTCACCTCAAATTTTTTGCAATCCAATTGCTAGGTCTACAACCATCAGATATATCGATACCTAGACAATCCTTTTGAATTAATTTCTGGAATAAAAGATGATGACCACATTGTGGCCTATAGGCTTCCTGCGAACCGCAACAAGTTGCCATTGCTTCAGTTAAAGCATCACAGGAAAGATATGTAAGTTCTTCACTCCTTTTCATGTTAATAACAGTGAATAGATGATATTTGGATCCTGTCTGTATTTCTACCTGCATTGTTTGAGATTTTGGGTGTGATATACTTAACGATATAGAATTGTGCCATGAATTCTCCTGATAATGGATGAACTCTTGATAAAATACTAATTTACAATGTTGTATTTTGCCAATTGGACTCAAGCAACTCTTTTCATATTAGCTGGTGCAAATATCTTAGTACCGTAGTCTGAAAGATCAAGATCCCCTGGCTCTCTACTAGTGTGGTATGGGTTTCGCTCTTATCAGTTTGGTTGTGGGTATATAAGGATATCATGTGAGGGATTTATATAGAGTATGATGGCAATATCACAATAGAGTTGTAAGCAAGCAGCTTTTATGGTGCTATTTGCAAGTTTGAAGGACTATTGTTTTGGTGAATCAAATATTAAGCGAGAGACTGAGGACAATGGGAAAATAAACCATGCATGCAGTGAAAAGAATAAAATCAGTTATGTAAATTTTACTGAAATACAATGAAGTACAAAGATCAAGTATATAATGTGCAAAAAAGAACAAATTTTATTTACGAAACAATAGTAATCAACGCTGGTGGTGACTCAAATCATGAACTGAAGGAAGGAAGTTATATCCACAATCAGTTGTCCCTTGTGTAGTAGTTGGGGCTGAAGAATTCTTAAAGAGAGCTTGGAGTCGGGTTGAAGGAGATGAGGAAATTGCTATTTGGACAAAAGGACGCGTTACCATCCTTTGGTCGTGGGGGTGAACAGCTGAAGTCATTGGAAAGCTGGGGTTCTTTTGTGTGTCAATAGAGGAGTAACATGGCTTTGAAGAGACAATCATGGAGGAGTCTGGATAGGGGAGAAAGGAAAGGTGGGGGGCGTGGTTTGATTTCTTTGATGAACTATTAGATGGTGTTTGGAGGAAAAATTGTTGCCAGTAAATAAACTAGGTCCAGATCGATTGTAAGGGCCTTCTAGGAACTGGTTTTGTGAAGTTTACAAACCTTCATAGACCTGATTTTAATGGCCCTTGTGTATAACATAGTTTACAAACCTTTCATTACTTGCTAAGAGTTCCCTTGTTTGGGAGTAACAAATATAAGGGCCACACAATAAGACCCTTGGGCTTAGAGTGATAGGCCGGAAATATTTTCAGGCTGGCCTTGGCTCAGAATTGGATTTTCAGGCTTGGGTCGGGCTGAGGCCTCCACACAGTTTCAAGCTGGCCCAGCCCTGACCCAAGTCTGGCCCCTTGGCAGCGCTATATATGAAGTTGGCGTAATTTTTAAAAATAAAAGATTGATCATCATTTTTAATTAATAGTTGGATGAAAATTAGTATATTAGGAATATATTATTATACTTATAGATAAATTTACCAAATAAGATTTGATAAAGAAAAGAAAGAAAAAAAAAAAGAGGGAAAAGCATGAGGAAGGGATAGCAAATACCTGTAAGAGCATAAAGAAATAGATGGAGAGAAGTGGGAGAGAGATCAAAAAAATAATTTATTTTTCTTATTTTTTCAAATGGGTTATCTTTTAAGGAATTGGGTTGGTGTGGTGTGAGGTTTTTTGTGGTTAGGGGGTTTGATTTTAGGCTTAGCTGGTTTCAAAAAGACAAGTTAAGCATGGTTGGACTTTTCAGGATCTATTGGGGTAACTTGGCCTTACCTAAAGAAGTCCTACTTTTATGGACTTAAGATTTAGGAAGAGATATGGAGACTACGTGAGAGAAAATAGGGAAATAAGGGGTTATGGAGGATCATAGAGATCCACTTGAGAGAAATAGGGAGATAGATCACGTGGAAGGGAGATAGAGAAGAAAAAGTCCGTCCGAGTTAGAGAGAGAGTTTTATTGGTTCTTTTATTCCTTTTTAGTCTATTTAAAGAAAGATATCCCTCATTGTAAAGATCAGAGAATGAGAATTGAGTAAATTTGATATTGTGAAAAGATTGTTTTTGGGGTGGATTCACCTGCAGACCTTGAGAGAGGGTATATTCTCTCGACCATTTTCTTTTTTAATTTTTATTGTTCGAGTTTTATTTTCTCCCTACATCACTTGTACACTTTTGTTTAAAAAGATGACAAGTTGAAATCCTATGTCAATTTGTAACAAAGTTGGAACTACCATTCCCCACATCTCATTATATGTATTTGATTTTGTAGAAAATTATCTTTTTGATTGATGCAGATTTGAATAATCTTTTTGGATTTGAAGAATTATTGCTTCATTTTTTAATTGATATACATTTATATTTTTCGTTTTTTTGTTGTTGAATATGCATTTATTGCTTTAGTTTTTTTTAACATGCATTTTTCGCTTCTTTTTCTTTGGAAATGTAAAGAATACAGGTGTGTTTTGTTGACTACCTCCAGTGGGACATTGTGCTTCCCCCAACATGAATTTTGGTCACACCATGATCCCATTCTGGTAGAATGGGAACGTGTTTCTTGATCAAGATCACCACCCATATATGGAGATCCCATTAGCTGTGGAGTATAATGTTAGGATTGGGAGTGTAGCCTGTGTTTGTCGCTTATGTCTTTGCATCTAAATTTAAATTCTAGCATTATTTTTGTTTCTCATGATCTCATTGGATGCCAGTGCTTTTGGTGAACCCTTGCAATTGCCATGGAAATTTTATTTATTCAAGGCGTTTTACAATTGAACAAAAAGTTGGTAATGTATCTGTTACCAGTTTTTGTGACAAGTCATCTTAAAATGATGCCATATATTTCAATAATTTTTTTCAGGTATGCACAACATGGTGGACAGCGAAAATTTTTTGGAACACCGCTAATCACTTGCTTACCAGAGGGTGGGTGCACTGGTGCTGTTATTCAAACTGCAGTCAAGGCCTTGTTGGCACCTTTGATGCGAGCTACTGCCTTCCCTCCTCCGAATCTTGTCAAAAGCAAGAAAGAAAGTGGATCGCCTTTGCCAGTCAATGATGACATAAAAATGGAGAATTGCAACCCCAATACAGAGTTCAAGGATGGACCCATAGCATTGGATGCAGTCTCCTCATTTTCCCTTTGGTTAATAGATGACAGGGGTTTCGGCAAGGATGTTCAAATTGAGAATGACACTACCTATAGTTTGACTGCATCATCAAAGACTGTAGTCACAATGAGCTGGTCTGAGAAGGATCTAGATTTGTATGACATCAGCTACCTAGAGGATCTGCCTGAGGTTTTCAAGTTGGGTTATGCAGTGAAGAAAACGAAGCAGGAAACTATTTCCTTATTTTCTTGCTTGGAGGTGTTCCTGAAGGAGGAACCTCTTGGACCAAATGACATGTGGTTAGTTTTGCATACGAAATACATATTTCATTTTCTTCCTTGTGTTTATTCATGGGAAAGTATCCTATGATGCACATGATTATACAAAAGTAATGATTATGACCGTTATCATTGGATGGTGATGGAAAGAGTGGGACTATGTGAACCTGACCTAAGTGGTGGTTTCCATTCTCTCCATCAATTGATTGGACTTTGGATATTAGTTTTTCCATGTTAATATGGATCATAGGCTACATCCTCATGTCATACATCTGTCGTAGCTAAATATTGCTTTTAATGCCAAAGCTGGCAATATTCAATATTTAATTGTGGTTGTCACATGTATTGCCCGTCCATATATACGAAAGCAATGGTTATGACGTTTATCACTGGATGGGGATGGAAAGAGTGGTACTTTGTGGACCTGACCTAAGTGGTGGTTTCCATTCTCTCCATCACTGTCCATCAATTGATTGGGCAGTGATAACACTTTTTATATAAGTTTTTCTATGTTAATATGGATCATAGCCTACATCCTCATGTCATACATCTGTTGTAGCTAGAGATTACTTTTAATGCTAAGGCTGGCAAATGTTCAATATTTAATTGTGGTTATCACAGGTATTGCCCGTCCTGTAAGGCTGATAGACAAGCAATTAAGAAACTTGACTTATGGAGGTTGCCGGATATTCTAGTTGTTCATCTGAAACGATTCTCTTTCAATCGTTATATGAAGACCAAACTTGACACCTTTGTGAACTTCCCTATTCATAATCTTGATCTGACAAAGTATGTGAAGTCCAATACTCCTGACCCTCATGTGTATGAGCTCTATGCAGTGAGCAATCATTATGGTAGCTTGAGTGGTGGTCACTATACGGCATATGTCAAGGTAAATATCCCTAATTTAGGTGGCCTTTATTTGCTTTTTTATTACAAAAAGTACAATTATACAACATAGAGCGTGTATGGTTCAGGCGTGTCTTCACCATCACTGCACCAGGACTGATTGTGGAGATAAATGATTCACCCACCCTAACTCTGTCTGTCAAGTGGATGGAGTAGTTCCACTCGATCTTGTCGGTTGTTGAACCAGACAGTGGAGATGCACTTATGTTATAGTTATACATACTAATGTACATACTCATTCCTTTTTCTTTTCTTTTTTTAATTTCTTTGATTTTTATCATGTGCAGCTCTTTGAAGAGAATAGGTGGTACAATTTTGATGACAGCCACGTTTCTCCAGTTAGTGAAGAAGGCATTAAGACTAGTGCAGCCTATGTACTATTCTATAGGCGAATTAAAAAATGACTCTAGGTTGAGTGAGAACATGGGTGGATCTTCTAGTGAATGCTCCCACCGACGAGTTCTTTTTGATACGTAGATAGTTTTGGTGAGATGAAGTTTTTTGACGGAGCCCATTGTCTCGTGATGAGATGAAGTTTTTCTGATTGTGACCACTGTCTCTAGGCAGTGGGCAATTGCTCTTGCAGCCTAGGCAGCATTATTTGCTCCACCCAGTGCCCTGAGATGAAGTTTTGGCCGCTGTCTCAGTTTGTACTGAGTTGAGATATTGAAATTGAAACCGAGCTAGAGAGAAGGGCAAGAACAGGAAAATATTGTGGAAGAGAGTTTGGGATGTGGTTGCATGTTTTTGGAAATCAGGCTTGACCTAGGGTAGCCAATAAGCTTGCTGTACTGTTCATTTTGATGGAAGGAATTGGTCATTGAGATCGGAAATTATAATGAAAGATGAGATATATTCATATCTTGTGTGGATGAAGGCGTACTGGTAGTCGACTAAAGGGTCTGTTGGGCGGAAATTTTTGAGAGTCCAATGGAAGAGGGGTTTTTCAAGATTGTTTCAGTCAGTCAGAATGTCTCATATGTTTTTCTATGTAGACCTTGATATCATAATAATCTGTACACTGAGGAACAATTATATGGCTAATGCTGCTTAGATTGAGAGACCTCAGAATAGTTGCGTGGTCATGCATGCATCTATAAATTAGAACATGTGTATGCGTGGGAGTGTTGCCTGAAGTCATGGAAACGTTGCATTATTGACAATTGGTTTCGAGAAATTGATGTAGTGAAAACGTAGTACCAAAAGTTAATCCGAGCGAGGAAACTCTAGTAGAACGTAAAGTTCAAAGAAGAGTTCCACCAAACCCTAATCCCCTTTGAGGTGAAAGTGGGTAATAATAATTATTACAATGAGGAAATCCAAAAAGCAAAAAAAATAAAAAAAATCGGTGAATTTTTCTCATTAAAAAATAAAATAAAAATTGTGGGCAGAATAATAAGATTCTTGTGAATCTTTTGGTAAAGGAAAATTTGTCATATATGGTTATATATATATATATATATATATATATAGGT